CACTTTTGAGAACACAGCAGGTGCCATTTTTCACCTGTGAGCCCTAGAGCCAGAGAGGGTTGAGAGGGTTGAAGGGAGACAGGTTCCAGCCTGCGTTGTGGAGGGAGCGGCAATTGGCAACATGGAAAGACAACTGTTAAAATGTGCTAACTCTGACCCAGAAAGTCCATGTCTGAGGGCTTCTGATGAGGAAACATTTGGAAGAATTTGCAGCCTGAGTGAGTGTTAAGAAGTGCATGCCACCAAGGGAGGCTGACAAAAAGTACAAGGAGCTTTTAAACTTCTGAAAAGGTGCTCAGTCTCACAAACAATGAGATAAATGCAAAATAATCTACCATTTTATACCTGTCGTATGGCTAAAGATCCCAGATCTAATAGTCCGTTGGCCATGCTGCGAAAAAACAGGAGCTTTCATATATTGCTGATGGGAAAGAAGGAAGAGCACAGAATTGGAAAAAAAAACTGAATAAATAAAGATTAAAAACTGCGCAAATTTGGGGGAAAGTGTAACCTACAGATTCAAGAAGCTGAGTGAATACCAAGCAAAATGAACCGAAAGAATTTCATACCCAGAAATGTCATAAATTACTGAAAACTAAAGGGAAAAATCTCTTAAAAGTATCCATAGAGAGAGGACACATTTCCTACAGGAGCAGAATGTCTCTAATACCCGTTATTTCTCATTAGAAGCCACAGAAGCCAGAAGGAACTAGCACAAATTTTTCAAGTGCTAAGAGAAAGAAAGTGTTACCAGAACTCTATATCCAGTCAGAATATCCTTCAGGAATGAAAGTGAAATGAAGGCATTCTCAGATGAAGGAAAACATTTGAATTTATTTCCAGAAGACCTAACCTGAAAATTGCTAAAGGAATGTCTTCTTGAGACAGAAGGGGAGAGATAACATGGAATGCCAGAAGTGAAAAAGAAGAATTAGAAAGGGTTAGTATTTGGTGAGGATAATAGATTATTCTCCACTGGAGTTTTTAAAATTATGTTTGATATTTGAAAACAAAAATGATAGCATTGTTTGAAGTGGTTCTCAATGTATTGACAAATAATATTTAAAACAGAAAGTAAAAAAAATAAAGTGCACATAAACCAACTGAAAGAGCTTCCAAAGGCCAAAGCTGGAGCTATTTCACTAAGAAAACAAGTAATGTAGTATTGGGTTATAACCCAAAGTATAAAATAAATATCCATGAATCCATAGTAATAAATAAATTATTGAATGAATGAATGATAATAGAAAGTACCCTGTGCAGAAGAATTCCAAATAACTTATGTAGGTACTCTGCCCCTGGGGAGTGCAGCATAACTCCCCATTTTTTCACTGTAAGCTGTACCTCACGTCATACTGCCAAAGAGGACAATAACAAGGGAAATAACAAGACTATGCAGTGGAGAAATCTGTCAAGAGTCCACCTCAGCCAGGACATCAAGGTCAACATCACTAGTGATAAGATGTGTTGATAGTGGCTACCATTGTTATGTGAAGAGAATGGCCACTTACCTCTGGGATCTTCCTCCCCAGATCCTATAATTGCCATCTAACCATGAGGAACCATCAGATAAATCCCAAGTGAGGGACATTTACAAAATAGGTGACCAACACTCCTCAAAACAAGGAAACTGAGAAACTGTCACAGCCAAGGGGAGCTTAAGGACATGTAACAACTAAATGTAACTTGGTATCTTGGATGAAATACAAGGATGAGAAAAACACATTAAGTAAAAACTAAGGAAATCTGAATAATGTATGGATTTTAGTTAATAATAACATATCAACGTTGGTTTGTTAATTGTGAGAGATGTGCCATACTAATGCAAAATGTCAGTAGAAGAAACTGGGTGTGAGGTATACTATCTCTGCAATTTTTCTGTAAATCTGAAACTATTTAAAAATTTTTAAGTTTCCTTAAAAAAAATTCTATGAAAACACTAATCACAGAAAGCTAGACTCGTTATATTAAGACAAAATGGACTTCAAAACAAACAAACAAAAAAATACCAGAGTCAGAGAAAGAGATGATAATGGTGAAAGGGTCAATTTACTAAGGAAAGTAATCCAAAACGTGTGTGATCCAAACAACAGAACTGACAGAGCAGAAAAGAGAAATAGATACCTCTTCAGTTATAGCCAAATGCTGACATTCATCTCACAGTCATTGATAGAACCTCCAGACAGAAAATCAGTAAGGACTAGAACTGAACAACGCGATCAGCCAAATACCTACAGGATTTTGTATGGATGTCGACAAACTGATTATAAGCATTATATGGGAAGGCAAAAAAAAAAAAAGAACAGCTATTTTTTTAAAGTTTTGAAAATGAAGGATAAAGTTGGTCTAATTTTAAGGCATTGTATGTATCTACAGTACTCAAACACTGTGATACTGGCAGACAAATAAACCTGTAAATCAATGGAATAGAAGAGAGTCCAGGAATAGAGTAGCACAAGTATGGTCAAACGTTTCTGTTTTTGTTTTGAATTGAGATATAATTCACACACCATAAAATTCCCCTTTTAAAGTATACCATTAAGTGGTTTTTGTATATTCACAAAGTTTTTTTTCCCCCATGTTTTTAAAATTGAGGTATAGTCCGTTTACAATGTTGTGTCAATTTCTGGTGTACAGCATAATGTTTCAGTCATACACATACATTCTTTTTCATTATAGGTTACTACAAGATATTGAATATAGTTCCCTGTGGTATACAGTAGAAACTTAACTGTTTGTCTATTTTATATACATATATATATATATATTAGTTAGTATCTGCAAATCTCAAACTCCCAGTTTACCCCTTTCCACCCCCTTTCCTCTTCGTAAAAATTTTTGTTTGGAGAAATTTGTGTTTGGGATATGTATGTTTTTATTGTAGACTTGTAAGAGTGTTTTATGTATCCCGGATGCTAGGCTCTTATCAAATATATGATTTGCAAATATTTTCTTCCATTCGGGGGATTTTTCACCTTCTTGATAGCATCCTTTGAAACATAAAAAAATTTTCAGTCCAATTTATCTATTTTTTCTTTGGTTGTTTGTGCTTTAGGGATGATATCAAAGGAATCATTGACTAATCCAAAATCACAAAGATTTATGCTTATTTTTTCTTCTAAGAATTTCATAAGTTTAGCTCTTATATTTAGGTCTTTCATCCATCTTGAGTTCATCTTTTGTAGATAGTGTGAGGTAGAGGTTCAACTTCATTATTTTGCATGTTGGAATATCCAGTTGTCCAGTTGTTGAAAAGACTATTCTTTTCTTTTTTCATTGTCTTAGAATCTTCGTAAAAAATCAGTTGACCATAATGATGGGTTTATTTCTGGACTCTCAGTTCTATTCCATTGATCTGTATGTCTAGCCTCATGCCCGTATCACCTAGTCTTGATTACTGTAGCTTTGCAGTATGTTTTGAAGTCAGGAAATGCAGATCTTTAAACTTTGTCCCTATTTTTCAAGACTGTTTCGGCTGTTCTGGATCCTTTGCATTTCCATATGAATTTTAGGATCCACTTGTTAATTTCTGAAGAAAAAAAGCCAATATTTTAGGAATCATACTGAATCTATATGTAATTTGGGGAGTACTGCCATTTTAAGAATATTAAGCCTTCTAATCCATGAAGACAGAATATCTATTTATTTAGCTCTTCTTTAATTTTCTTGTAGTTTTTAGTGCACAGTCTTGTGCTACTTTTGTCAAATTGATTCAATTTATGCTGTTGTAAATGGAATTCTTTACTTAATTTTATTTTCAGGTTGTTCACTGCTACTAGTTGCATAGAAATACAACTGATTTCTATATATTGATTTTGTGTCCTGCAACATTGCTGAACTTTATTAGCTTTAATCGTTTTCTTGTGGATTCCTAAATGTTTTTTGTATCAAAATACATGTCCGCTACAAATAGAGATAGTTTTATTTTTTCCTTTTTGATCTGGATGCCTTCTATTTCTTCTTC